GTGGTCTCATGCTTCAGATCATAACATTGCAGTGTACGCTCGCTACGAGGTGGACGGGGTCGTCAAGACTCCTCTTCTTTGTATGGCTCCACTGCTCAACGAGGAGGAGGAAGACCTCTCCGCCCGCGGCCACATGGCGTTTCTTGCCACTATGCTGCCTCGGGACTACGGCAAGCAGCTGGACCAGTGCTGTTTCCTGGTGGGAGACAACTGCTCGGTTAACCGGCGGCTCGCAACGCTGATGGGTGTGCCGCTAATCGGCTGTGCCGCCACCGCCTTAACCGAGCAGTGCAAGCTGACATGCAAGACTATGAGGACGAGCTGGATGCTGTCCCCAAAAATTTAGAGATAAAGTTTCGAAACCTGAAGCAAAGTGCCAAGCTGAGGTAAGTTTGAACTGATTATGATGTAGTTTAGAAACGTTTTCTATTGGATTTTCTATTTTGAATGTAGAACTAAACGCCGCTCCGTCCAGTTATCCGCCAAGATACTCGATGGAGCTCCACTTTCGCTATGGTGATGCGGTACTTCACACTGCTAAAGTTTATCGACAGCGATGACGACGACATCGCAGATTTGCTGCCGTCCCCTTCGTACAACCGTCGTTTTGCGTGCTCTGCTAGCAGACTTGAAGAAGGTCGAGTCCGTTGCAAAAGCTTTACAGGGAAGCGAAGGTATCAATAACTGGAGGCTCGAGGGTGGCTGGAGGGCCTATGTTTTCTCTCAAACCACACTCCGCTCGGTACATTGGTACGTGCAGCATATTTTTTCCTTTTCTAGTATCCATTGCTAATTTGTTTTGTATTCACTATGAGCACTAGGCCCACGCGCTGAAATTGTTCACAGCCCTGACTTTGAGTCAGGGTGTGTACGGGTCTTAGGCGGCAATGCAGCCCGCCTCACGCGAGCTGAAAAAACAGTGTTGACTCCGTTCAAGTCGACAGGCCCTCCTGCAGTGAGTGAAGACGAGGACGACGGCGAAAGTTCGTTCGTCCAGCTGCTTCAAAAGAGACGCCGACTTGCCGCGAAGGAGACCAAGTACAAGCTCTTGCACGCAATCCCTGCGACGTCCAACGTGGTGGAGCGCTTTTTTAGCGTTGCTCGTACCACGTTTGGCCAAGAACGCCATGGACTGCAGCCCATTACTTTAGAAATGATTCTCTTCCTGCGCGAAAATGCTGGTTACTGGGACGCACAAACACTTGACACAGCAACTCGAGCGTAGATACCTGTTATTGATTCAATAAACCGTGTTTATTGCAGCAATAACTCAATTATTTATTGGTCTTCTAGCTAAAGCATCATAACGTATTGCCAACATACAAGCTAGCTTCGCGATAATTTATCGTGAAGATGCTACTACGATAAATAACAATATCATTTTCGGACCCCCTGACAGTGTAGTGTATAGTAACACCATCACTGTGTGACGCCTTGATCTTCATGCTCGCGAACAGCGGGTCGTTTTGATTTGATCCATGCTGCCGTCGAACTGCCCGTCCCGCCTCGCGGTCGCGTTCCTCATCCAAGCATTAATGACTGTCGCCATTCGTCCTGATCACCTCTTGAAGCGCAACCTGGCCGTCATCTTCAATGTGGGCTGCTTGGGTCTTGGCCACGGGCGGTGTTTCTGAATACATTTTCAGCTTGACCCTGTGCCGGTAGGCTTGACAGGCTGTCAAGTGATGTCCATAGCCGTCGCGTTGCTGACACCGCTACGTCAGATCATGGGGTTCTTGTTAAGAGGTCTCCACTGCCAACGTGTGGCTCTCGTCTGACGTAGCGTGCTCTCGTCGTGAGGAAAGACATGCATTGGGCTCAAGTCTTTCGCGCCGGCATGGCTGGATCTTTTTGCTGATCACTTGGCAACTTACTTCCAATGTCGTCCAAGCTGCGTTTCCCGCTGCCAAAAAACTACTTCGGTCACATCGAGGTCACGGCTGCGCAGAAGCTTGAGTATCGCGATGTGGTGCAGCGCAGACTCAACGAGCTGCTGGACGACGAGCAGCACTACAATGAGCGCAAAGCCAATAAATTGCCGTGCCTGCCACCCGCAGACTGGAAGTACGTGCGGTCGCTCGAGGATATAAAAATCTACAGACGTAGACGGCGAGGACGGTCACTTGAGGAAATCGCAAAGCACGAGGACATCCCCGAGGCCAGACAAGCGGTAGCGAACGGCCAGCCAAGTATCGTAGCGACGGGAAATATTGCCGGCACGGTAGAGAATCTGCTCTACGGGTTAGCCGACACGAACTACGAGGAGATGCGCACCACGACGTCCTTCCTGGATGTCGACACGGATTTCGCGGTTCTGCGCGTTTTCGAGTTGGCAACCGCGGACGACCCGCTGCATTTCTTCGGCCTCAAGTGGCTCTACAGCTCGTCCGCTCCATTTATCGAGCCGCGGGATGTCTGCTTTCTAGAAGCCATGGGGGTGCAGAAAGACGCCAATGACGAGATGTACGGCTACCTGGTGCTCAGGGGGTCCGAAAATGATATTGTTATTTATCGTAGTAGCATCTTCACGATAAATTATCGCGAAGCTAGCTTGTATGTTGGCAATACGTTATGATGCTTTAGCTAGAAGACCAATAAATAATTGAGTTATTGCTGCAATAATCACGGTTTATTGAATCAATAACAGGTATCTACACTCGAGTTGCTGTGTCAAGTGTTTGTGCGTCCCAGTAACCAGCATTTTCGCGCAGGAAGAGAATCATTTCTAAAGTAATGGGCTGCAGTCCATGGCGTTCTTGGCCAAACGTGGTACGAGCAACGCTAAAAAAGCGCTCCACCACGTTGGACGTCGCAGGGATTGCATGCAAGAGCTTGTACTTGGTTTTCTTCGCGGCAAGTCGGCGTCTCTTTTGAAGCAGCTGGACGAACGAACTTTTGCCGTCGTCCTCGTCTTCACTCACTGCAGGAGGGCCTGTCGACTTGAACGGAGTCAACACTGTTTTTTCAGCTCGCGTGAGGCGGGCTGCATTGCCGCCTAAGACCGTACACACCCTGGCTCAAAGTCAGGGCTGTGAACAATTTCAGCGCGTGGGCCTAGTGTTCATAGTGAATACAAAACAAATTAGCAATGGATACTAGAAAAGGAAAAAATATGCTGCACGTACCAATGTACCGAGCGTAGTGTGGTTTGATGGAAATCAAGCCATCCAGCCACACTCGAGCATCAAGTAGTGATACTTCGCTTCCCTGTAAAGCTTTTGCAACGGACTCGACCTTCTTCAAGTCTGCTAGCAGAGCACGCAAACGGCGGTTGTACGAAGGGGACGGCAGCAAATCTGCGATGTCGTCGTCATTGCTGTCGATAAACTCCAGCAGTGTGAAGTACCGCATCACCATAGCGAAAGTGGAGCTCCATCGAGTATCTTGGCGGATAACTGGACGGAGCGGCGTTTTAGTTCTACATTCAAAATAGAAACCCAATTAGAAACGTTTCTAACTACATCATTATCAGTTCAAACTTACCTCAGCTTGGCACTTTGCTTCAGGTTACGAAGCTTGATCATTAACTTCTGGACAGCATCCAGCTCGTCCTCATAGTCTTGCATGTCAGCTTGCACTGCTCGGTCAAGGCGGTGGCGGCACAGCCGATTAGCGGCACACCCATCAGCGTTGCGAGCCGCCGGTTAACCGAGCAGTTGTCTCCCACCAGGAAACAGCACTGGTCCAGCTGCTTGCCGTAGTCCCGAGGCAGCATAGTGGCAAGAAACGCCATGTGGCCGCGGGCGGAGAGGTCTTCCTCCTCCTCGTTGAGCAGTGGAGCCATACAAAGAAGAGGAGTCTTGACGACCCCGTCCACCTCGTAGCGAGCGTACACTGCAATGTAATGCTCTGAAGCATGAGACCACACATCAAAGATTAGCCCAAAAAGGTCAGGAATCTCTTCAGCGATGCCACGCTCCACGGCCCGCGTCACACTACTCATGCCAGAGACGAGCGTCTCGACACAAATTGAGTCAAGGTTAGTACCTATAGAAAGCAAATAGAAACAGAAGTTAGAAATTCATAGGCAACTTTAGAAATGCGTATGACTTACCTTTTGGCCGCCTCATTCTCGCAGAATGACAGCGGAAGATTGCTCTTTAGGATCCACTCCATCCAGCTGAATAGATTGAGAGAGGAGCGCCGCACGTAGTTGAGGATAGACCCCGTCTCGGCCGAGCTAGCGGCGAGCATGAGGCTCTCATGGGTTGGGTGCTCGCTTCGAACGTGCGATACTAGGTTGGAAAAGCCATTGCGGCTAGCCTGCTTTCGAACCGTGCCGCAACGACAGCGGTAGTACTCGAGGATGACTTCATCAAACTCGTCGCGGCACGTTTGAAAGAAGAACCCAGCAATTTGTGCTGGCGTGAACGTGGAGCGCACACTGCGTCGAGACGAGAAGACCATGGTAACGGGAGTGTCGGCGTGGGAAGTGAGAGAAAAGAAAATGAGTCTGCTGAGATCAGCCGATTCGGCAACAAAACGACTGGTTCGTGGCGATCGATTGACTGCTGCAGATAACTTCAGGAAATTGTACGCATAAATTACCGTATGTAATATGCAGCCACCATAAATTATGCACGAGCCTAGTTTAGGGTGACAACATAAATAATGTCTGCTTATTTATTGAAATTACTGTGTCGTCAATTTTTTTGGGGGGCCCTGGGTCATTCTACACCTTTGCCCGGCCAATGTTGACCTCATTTCATCCAA